AGAGAGAGAGAGAGAGAGAGAGAGAGAGAGAGAGAGAGAGAGAGAGAATATGAACCTGTAGTATTCTAATGAATTAAATTTTTTGGATATTTTAAAAGTATTTTACTTCTATGATGAGTATGTTGATAAACTTTTATTGTATGCTTCTTATGCATTAGTGTTTTTAAAATTGAGATTTTTTCCCCATAGTGTTTTCTAGTCTATCACAGAGTTATTCATTTTCTTATGTCTGTCTCACTAGAATTTCATACTTTCTAGTTAAAGCAGTTTTAGATGTCTTCTCTAACGTTTTGTTCATGTTTCTGTGTTGGCTATGCTTACCTAACTAGAATTTTTCACTGTCAGACATGCATATAATAAGCTTGAACTTTGCTTCTAAAAATTAAGAGGACTCACATATTTTATTTAGAATCAAAGTTTTCATTACATTTAGAACAGTTTCCCATATACGGGCAAGTACATCTATATTGTTCAAAAATCTTTAAGTGAAATTTCAGCCACAATTCTGAATTATCTTCAGTTTACTGACCAGGGAACTGAATTGCAAGCAGGCTAAGTAATCAATCCTCTCCAAACCACACAGCCCATAGAATTTAGAGTGATGGTTTGAACTTATGTCTTTGTGATATAAGCATCTAGAAATGGATTGTATGTTCATTATAGTCACACCTCCATATTAAAGTGACATTGTCATTGTAGAGTAGTTTACCTCAGACAATGAAATACTACTGACATTCTCTGGCCTTCGTGGCACTGCACAGAATAGAATGATTAAGTAGCAAGTGTTTAACAAGTACCATATGGAGAAATTAGAGACATCTTGCTAAATATTCAAGAAATTGTTGAATACTGATTACAGATGCAAACATATGCAAACTACAATTTGAAATTTCCTATTTTAATGAGCTACAAAATTTAGTAATTTATTATATACAGAGCCTAATACTCTCCTAAGAATTGTGAAGTAGGTTTATTAGGCATATTTAATGGGAATGAGGAAATATCCTGTAAAAGTTATAAAATATGTTGAGAATAGTGAAATTAAAAACAAAAGTTAAAATCTGTTGTTTAAAATGTAATTCGTGTTGTATTTTAACAGAATTACATTTCTATTTTGGTAGTGTCCTGAGACTTTTTATTAGAATGTCATGAAGTAATTCTCTTAAAATACTGAACTAATTATATTTTAAACTAACAACTTCTTACAGATGTTTCTAGCTCAGCTATGATAGGATTTTCATTACTTTCAGTGGTTGAAGAAACAGGTCGAGGATAAATCACATCCACATATGTGCTCTCTTCATTGCCTTTCCTTCTGCTTATTTGCGCTGTTCAGGCTCCCGCACTTTATTTTCTTCACTTCAACTTACTTACAGTTGCTGGCCTCTCATCTTCCTTTTCATTTTGTAGTACATGTCTCTAAAGGAATAATCTATACTTATTTCCTCTATTTTCTATCTTATCACTCACAACTCAGTTTTCTCACAGTTCCAATATTAAAACAACACAAACCAAAACTTAAATGATGATCTAATTTCAAAATCCAATGATTTCCTCTTAGTCGTGGCTACTTGTCACCATTGATCAGCATGTCCTTTTAGAAAAAAATTTATTTCCCTTGCTTCTCTGGGCACCGTTCTTTCTGCTTGGTCTTTGAATAGCCCTGCTTATTCTGTGTTTTTACTGCATTTTTTTCTTCTGACTTTCCAGGAACATTTCGCCTATTTTCTATCACTCATCTTACCAATTATCATTTTTATATCATCTTATATCTATACTCACTAACATATCTGTGCTCATAAATATACAGGTTTATTTTCTCCATGCATATTTTCACTTGCTTCCATAGCATAAAAGATAACTGATTTCCAGCAGATCTCCTGATGCTTGTGAAGGGCAAATTTCTCTCCCTACTCAAATTTATGTCTTTGATGCCTAACTAGATATTTTATAGGACTCCTACAAGCTACAAATTTAAAATATCCTTTGTAAGTGATATACCACATGATCTTTCAAGCAATTTACATATGTTAGCTCAGTTAAATTACTCAGCAAACCTGTGAAGTATAGAAGTAATACCTAATTAGGTGATACTTGAAGTTGGCCTTGAGGGAGAAGAATATCACTGATACTTTTTTTTCTAATAAAGAACAATACTCAATGAGACTGGGAGGCAAGAAGGGCTTCTAGTATGTGAAAATAGAGGCTCCCATAGTCTGCCATTGATTTTACAATAGAAGATAGAAGACAATGCAGATATCCGTGTATGTATGTGTATATATAAACATACATAAACACATATATATATTCAAAAATTTTGAACAATAGCGTTGAGTTTTTTGTAAAAAGATAAATTCTGAATTAAAGTATACCTTCACTTTTCAGTTTGCTTCTAAGTTGAGTAGTTGTTTGTATTTTTGCAATGGTATGTGCTAGTGACTCCCATTGTATGAAGAGCAGCAGATTCGTCATTATTGATCAAAATTTTCTAAATGCCTGCTCTCCTCTTTACTTCCATGATACTATGCTCCTCTTTTTTTCGTTTTGTTTTACATAATGATTCTTATATCTTTTTGCCCTTTATTTTGCTGATTCCAAGAGTTTATTTTAGTTTTCCAATTAGCTTTAAAAACTCATGATAAATCTAGTTAATTTGGATCACAATATAATTTTCATGCAAATTTTGATTTTGCCCGTCCTCCATCTCTCCTTCTCTCCCCTTGGCTCCTGCCTCTGTCCTATGTTGATCTCCAGCATCTCTTGCACCGTTTTTCTGATTTTAGGATCTATGTTCTCACGTACATCTATGAAAATGAAAATCAAAGGTTTGTGTATGAGAGAAAGATTTTTCTTGGGATCTTTAGCTCTTTATTTTTCTAATTTTGTTGATGTTACCACTGTCCTTCTGTGTTCAGCTCTTTGCTTCCCTAATCCACTTAACCTTTCAAACACATTATGTTTAACTTATGCTTTGCCTTTAACTCTTTGTACAGTCCTGTTCTACTTCCTTAGCTTCCCTGATCGAATTCTTTTTCACCCCATGACCTAACATTTTCTTATATTCCTGATCACAATTAACGAACACCAGAAATGTAATAGTTGTCTTTAAATCCACTTTAACTAAATACATTCTACAATCCTTAAATCAAATCTTGGTAGATTCTACTTAGTTTTGCACTTATTTATAGGCATATTAGTTCTCTGTCTTCACTCTGCTGCAGTTTGTTGTTGTTTTGTTGTGTTTTGTTTTTTACTTTCAGGGAATTCTCTTTATCTTGGATTTTGTTCTGTTTTTTTTAAAGAATTTTAAACCTTCATTCTAACCTTTTAAATTTTTTTCTACAAAGTCGTTGTTCTGACATGCAGGTTTGTTACACCGCTGCTTAAAAGCCTCCAAAGGATTGTTATGACCTAGTATTAAAATCTAGTCCTTGTGTCCTTTTTCCCCAAATGAGTAAATAAAAGCACACTTCATCATTTGCTTACTGCTTTTACTCTAACTGCATATTTCATTACTCGTCTGCTGTAGTTTCTGATGTAGTCATACTATGCTGTGCTTTATGAACATGTTAGACAATTTCCTCCTCATACCTCCATACCTTTGTACATAAATTCTTTTTCCTGGAAAGCCATCTCCATTTTTTTACTTAATCAACTTGCACTTTATATTTGTATAGTTCTTGGTAGGTACTTATTTTGACATAAACCATTTTTTCCCCTAACTCCTGCTATGGCTAGGATAAAGAAAGATCTTGTTAATGCCAACAGAATAGTTTATAAGGTCAAATGTGTGACAGTATCAATAAAATTTTAAAAGCACAATTTATCACAGCTAATGGCAATATGGATAATCTGTCTGAGAATGCCCTAGAGTTGGCAATTACTGTACTCAATAACTCTATGACTTGTGATCAAACAGGCAGACAAATGTTTGCAGTTTTTGAAGCCTATTTGTTAAATAAAAACTTCTTTTATTTTTCAGCTCTTTTACAAAGATGCTCATAGTATTCCATTTTTATTTATTTATTTTTATATGCACCCAGTCAGTTATTCACATATAGTATGAGTGATATTTATTAAATGTATATCAGACAATTTAATACAAACAGGCACTGCATATTTTTACTGGTTTAAAATATGAATTATGGTCCTACTCCTGCACATTTGTTCTTGATGGATAAAATTTATTGACTTCCTGTGATTTTTTTAAACATTTGCTTCTCATTGAATTCTTTTTTATTACAAAACAGAAACTGTATTCTTTCTTGCATGAACTGAAGGTAATTAGCACATTATAGGGAATAAAGACTCCAGTAGTACAATAAGAGTTTCTAGTCCTCCGGATTTGGCTAATTATCCATGTGACCTCAGAGAGATCACCTCAGTTTTATAGATTTTTTTAAAAAAATTCATCCATATATGAACCTGTCAGACTAAAGTATTTTAGGTTGTTTACTTCTTATCACTCGAAATGGATTATTTTGAAAGCAGATTGATTTTTGCTCTAAAGAGGACAATAGAGTTTACTCACATCTTTAAAGATTTATATCCTTGGAAGCTCAGTATCAAAGTTTTAAAATTTTCATTATTTGGGAATGAGATTTGTAATTATTCAGAGCTTAGCTCAGAGGATGCCATAACTCTATCTTCATTAATGTCTCTCATGCAATGCTATTCATCCAAATCTCCTGCAGTATTCTTTATCCATTTTGTCTGAAGTGGTAGCTGTAAGTTACCTGTTATTTTTTTTTTGAGCCATTGGACTATAGCTAGTGAAGCCAAATTCTTGATTTAGTTCCAATCAAAGTTAATCTGTGATTAAACAATCCTGTTTTGAATGGTAGTGTTCTCTACTGTTCATACATGTAAACCTGTTCATATGCACTTGCATGTGTTTGAATGTACATTCACACTGAATATGGAGTGCCTTGGTAGACAGAAAAGGGGAAAGAAAAACCATTAATTTGGAGGATGGAATGCTCACTATATTAGTTCAAGGTTAGTTCATGGGATTTATATGGGATAGAATGTACTCTAAACCAAGCATCATTTCCTCATTTTACTATATTTATATTCATTTCATTATGTATTTTGATAACTCTTACTTATTATAGACAACATATTGTTTGTTTAATTCAGGCTTTTATACTTAATGTGTATCTAAAATGGTAACTGTTCCTAGTTTATCAACTATGATATAACAGATACATTTTATCATATTATACATCCTTGGAGTCTTTGATTGCATGAATCTATGTGTGGACTTTTTATGATACCTGGAACATTGTTGAATTATTTTCTTTTTTTGTTTTTTGTTTTTTTGAGACAAGGTTTCTTTGTGTAGCTCTCGCTGTCCTGGAACTCATTCTGTAGACCAGGCTGGCCTCGAACTCAGAAATCCGCCTGTCTCCGCCTCCCAAATCCTGGGATTAAAGGCGTGCGCCACCACCGCCCAGCTAGATTTTTTTTGAATTATTTTCTATTTGTGTTAAAATACAATATAATTTTCTGTTTTACTTTAAGTTATTTATCTGCTGAAAGCCTCAAATTCTCCATGTGAGTAAGAAAGATAATAGTAATACCTGTCTCATGTTTACTATGAGAGTAACTTCAGATGGTACATTATGTAAATTATTTAATACATTGTATAGTAATTGATAAAAATTAAATAGTACAGCTGATAAGAGTCTACATTTTTGCATTTAGCTATTTGAATTTTGTATGTTTGAACCACAAATGGGTATATACTAATAATATATTATGCCTCTTAGAATAATTAATTATTGAATTTAGGATAGTTTTGATCGTTTAAATTTTGAATTCCTAAGTTATTATTGTCTGAAATGCATAACTATAACATAGAAATGGAAAAATGAGTTTCTTTTCATACATTAGTGCAATTTATGTCTTTAAAAGTACTTAACTAGCAAATTATTTTGCCATTTATATGTTACTGTTCAGATACCTTGTAGAATTAATTTGGAATGCTATAAATGACACTTGTTGCCTCTACTCATTTGAGCATTGTCTTTAAAGCATCTCCAAATTATTTTATATAATAGACTGTGTTCAACTTCTTAATTTTAAGTATCCAGCTATGTTTGTATATATTACATATGAAGTATTTAATAGCAGTACATTCTTTCTTATTAAATAATACCATATTCACGTTGATATATTCATCAATTTTGACTGTTACTATTTTTCATGTCCTTAATAATATACTTCTAATTCTATAAAGGTATTGTTTTACAAGTCTGATCATTTTTCTTATGGGAATGTTGTCTGTACTTGAAAGTTATTAATATATATATATTGAGGCTAGAATTTTTTCTGGCAAAAGAACACTAGCTGATGGCAAATTTTGAAATGGTCATGTACACTGGCTTGCACATTCATGTCATATCTGTAATTTAACAGACTCATTCAAGAAAGTAGGACTCTACCCAATAGATAAGCATATATAATAGCCTACTGAGGCTCTACATTTACACATTTTCATATTTTAAAAAGGAGGGGCCAATATTCAAGTAGACATAAAATTTCTAATAACATATTCAATATTTCTTTTAAGGTAACACAAAATATATGACACATATTCAGTTGCCTAAATGTTTATGTTGTTACTCAAACATTCCTACTAATTGAAATACACTGTAATGTTGTTAACAACTTTAGTTTTGTTCATTAAACAAAACCCATTTGACTTTCCTTACTAGATTTGGTACAATAGCCTCATTTGTCCAATAACTTGAGTGTCCAATATTTGGTAAAAAAGCAAAGGAATGTACCATTCAATGTTTTTTTCATTGTTTTAAAAATATAACTTATAATGCAAGGTCTGTTGTAGTCAAGTCAAAATTCATTTGAAATATTTTTCTTTTCTCAAACTTTTTCCTCAATATTTTTAGTTCATTTGTCTTTTTTATATATGATTAACATTTTTGTTTAATTTGGTATTTTCCCTGAGATTCCTTGCAGTCAACTCTTCTGGATGTCTACTTTCCTCAGTTTAATTGTCCAGGTTCTCTTCATGGATTAGTCAGTTGCCCTACATCTCAGCAGTGTTTTCTAAAACTCTAATTCCATAATAATGTGTGGAATATCTTGTAACACGCATTTTATTGACTTCTGGTTTATAATTACAAAATTAAAGCTTTTCTTTTTCTTTTCTTTTCTTAATAATAGCAATTCAAATAATGGTAAAAACGTTTCAACTATCTATTTATGAAATATTTTATTTCAAAAACAACATACATATATTCATTATTATACAATATATATTAGCCACTGTATCATAGCGTTTTCTAGTTAATATTGGTTCATCTAAATAAATTTTCATATTTAATTAACTTGTCTAAGTTATGTATTTCAGTATCTTACATACTTTGTGTAACTTTATCTTGATAAAATCCATGGAAAGAATGCAAGTTAACAGTGTTATCTCAAAGTTATGTAATATACTTCCATGGATTTATTTGACTTAGATTTGAGTTTATTTATACCCATGTGGAATTTAGTAATCTTACTATCTGAGGACAACTAGATATGAAGGATGCATTTTGTGACCTTTTCAAAGGATTGTGTGGTTAATCTTTGGGAATTTGCATTTTCCTAAGGCAATTTAAATATGCTTTCATATTGTTCACCAGGGAAAATACACTTAACTGTTGCACCACTGTTAAATTATGTTAGACAACATAATCTTGATTGATAATATTGTTGTTTATAATACAAAGTAATAACCATCATAATACATATAGAAATATTTGCATTTGTTATTTTATCATATAAAAATGCCTTTGGTGAGTTGTTACCTTCATGTACTAACTAAACATATGTTTATTGAACTTAACTATATAAATGAAATTTACTTTCTCTTTGTAGGTGGCCTGCATGCAGTTCATAAATGCGCTTGTCACTTCTCCATATGATCTTGACTTTCGAATTCATTTGAGGAATGAATTTCTCCGTTGTGGGCTCAAACCAATGCTCCCTGTAAGTTGAATGTATCTACTTATTATGCTACTGAACTTTTAATTTTCTTTACTCTTCAAGTAAAAATAGATTTTGAAGCAGAGAACAAGTTCATCTTTTGCTATTTACTCAAATAAAACATTAGATATGCTGTAAGCCTTCTTTTTTAATATAATGGCTGATTGTTAATTCGATTAATCAGGTGACTTAGACTTAATACCTTTTGATTTAATCAAAAGGGGATTATTTTCTCTTAATTTTGAGAATCCAGACATGAAAGCCAAGTTTTTATTTATTCAATTATTTATTGTGAAAATTCATTTTTCATTTAAATATTTTATAACTTTCTTTTTTATACTTTACATTGAATTCATTTGTAGTTGATATATGTATGCAAATATATTTGTTTATGATATTCAGGTACTTTGCTTAAATATAGTATTCTTATTAGGTTGCTTTAGAAGTTTTTCAAAGAGAAACATTTTCATTTCTTAATTGAATGTGAATCTCAGTTCTAATTACAGTAATGATAAACTATATTTGGAATAGTTTTGTAGTCTCCCTGTGATAATTGAGTACCCTCACTCTGTAAATTCTAGTAGACAGTTTTTACCTTATAACTAGTTTATTATAGATATTTTCTGAATATGACTTTTTAAAAATAATGTTATTATTTATGATTTGAGAATTTCATATAGTGGATTTTATATTCTTTCTCTTTCTCCAGTCCTCCAAAATTATTCCTCATCCCATAACTAGCCATATTTTTTCTTTATCTCTTTGAAACACATACAAAGCAACAAAAACATGGTTTATGCTGTATATAACCAGTATCATTTCATTGACGAAAATTGAGTTTTCCCTCTTCAAGCAGCTCTCAAATGTGAACAGCTTCTTGGATGGGGGTAGATACTTTTTTCTTTAACTATGACATCTCTGCTATGTTCTTCTTCAAATTTCTGATTTCCCAGCCTTAAGAAAATGGAAATCATTGTGTTTCTTGTCCTGAAGTTTTATAAAACATCCTATAGTAATTCACAAATATTTCTCTTAGAAGATCAACATAAATATGCCTCTGCATGGCTCTTAACTGTGAACTGAGAGAATACATCCTCGCTCAGTGAAAGACTGTCAAAATCATATGTAGAGTGGGTTAGGAGTGTTTTTTTTTTTTAAAGATAAACTTCCCTGGTTTATTTCATTAAAAATAAAATCTAGACTGACAGGCCTTTAATATACTGGGGATCAATTCTTTACTCCTATACATTTCTTTATTCTTTGTTACTATTGTCATTTAATTATCAGGATTTAGTAAAGATAACATGGTCATACTTCAGTATGTACTAGATGTTCCTTGTATGTTAACGAGTACATAATTTGCACCAATTAACTATTTTCATGTAAAGACTTATATAGTTATAATCAATATCTTTCTGTATTTACTGAACCTCAAATATATTAATAGGTAAGCATAAACCTGCCAAAATTTTCTTATTTATTTATCCTTATTCTATAGACAACTCAAATAAGAGCAATTCTCTTTTTCTAATATACAGCTTAATAAAAGCAACGAATTAGGCATATTTGAGATTGGCATGTAGATCAAGTTATAATTTTCTAGTAAAATTAATTGGTAGGGAAAATAGTTTAGTCTTTCAGTAGATTTTGAAATCAACCCAATAATTTTATTAGTATAAGTTTTATAGTTAATTATTAGAATCTTCATCACAAATAAATTAATTTTAGAATATTATGTGAACATTTATTTTCATAGTACCTCTATCAGTATAGCTATATTCTTGCTCTTAAATGTAATATAGATTATCTACATTTGATGAATTTGCTCTAGTAGGAGTTTGGTATAAATAAATTGATTTATGTTCTATAGCAAAGTGTTTTTTAAAGATTTATTTATTTATTTCATGTATTGGGTACACTGTCGCTGTCTTCACATACACCAGAAGACAGCATCAGATTCCCCTTACAGACAGTTGTAAGCCACGATGTGTTGCTGGGAAATGAACTCAAGTCCTCCGGAAGAACAGTCATTGCTCTTAACTGCTGAGCCATCTCTCCAGCCCCTATAGCAACTTTAAAAATATATATTTGAGCTTTAAATAATTTAATTCATTTTAAAATTTCTACCTTTTATTTAGGTACACAAATTGCCTATTAAGTAAATCAGGTTATAAAGAACAATGCAACAAAAATAATGTTTGTAAGCAATTGGCATACTTTAAATCCTTTTGAAGTCTATAATAGGATTTAGAATCTTTTGATTATGTACTAAAGTATGATATAGCTGTGTTATATACTTCATATTCATTTTTTTTTACTATGTAGTTTGTTTAAATCATCATATGTTTATTTTCTCAAGTATTTAATATATCTTTCAGACTTTGATATTTGAAAGGAATATTTATCAATATAAATGAATATATGCTTATACATGTATTATTAGGGTTAGAAAATTATTAAGAACACTTACTATGTTTTATATATACACATTCACATATTTTTCTAAATAATGTATATACTTCATTTGTTATTATTTTCCTTGAAAATATTTAATTGTGCATACAATTTTCTGTTTTATAATTAAGTTCTGATACTATTGAAATGCATTTTTTGGTGTTTGAAAGTTTTTTTTGGGTGTGACAACCCTCTGTTCTCACATGTCAATATGACTCATAAGTATTATATAATTCTCTATTCCAATAAATCTCTTTCTCTTGGTAATAGTTCCAAACCAAGTTCTTAGTTTAGAAGAAATAAAGTAGAAATAATTTTATTTTTTATATGATTCATATGAAATTATTTAGAAATATTTAAAATTTACTTTACATGTGTAATATATAAACAATTAGTAAATTCTTAGTATGGAGATTCAAAGAAAGAACATCAAAAATGTTTCGATTTCAGTTGTCCTTCATCAGTAGCCATTATATCCCTTTTCCTCATTGTTCTTCTTGAATAAAAGTAGAAACCAAAATAGAAAAAATATACACATCCGATTTTCTTTGTTTACATAATTTGAAGTACACCTTACTTGCATTTCTTTTTAGAACTCAAGCTCAGCTCTGAACATCATAAAGCCAGTTTGGGTATCACCCTTGAGCATCCACACTTAAGATTATCGATTTGAGTTTTCAAAGCTGCAACTTAATGGACAAATATTAAGAGATATTCCAGGTGATATATATTAAGCCAACAATCTCTAGTGTGGCATGCTTCCAAACTTTTCTTATATTATTATTGAGAAAAATATCATAGGTTTGTAATGCATGTGCTTATGATGTATTACAAAAACAAATCTTTGAGGCCCAAGATGGTATTTTGTGATCAGGCTAAGGGAAAATGAAAAAAAGTTGGCATTGTGACTAGCTATACCTTGATTTTAAAAAAAATCTTAATACCTATTAACTTTAAAATTACAAAATATCATTCATAATAAATTTGTTTATACAATATTTACAGGCCATACTTCGGACTGTTGTGCTTGAATATATCCTTGCATTTGTTCTTCATTAACACAGTTGATCTGTATTTGCTTTATTTTCTTGGTGCCCGAGGCACATGTGAATGTTCTAACTGCATGATTTTCTTTATGATCTCTGATGAGTATGTTTAGTCAAAATGATGACATTGAATTTGGATTGTTAGCAATTAGTCTTGTTATAGAAGTGATTATTAATATTTATTGTTAGTAGTCCCAACACTGGCATGGGAAGAAAACATAAAGTATGGTATAATGTTCTTTCATCTTAAAAAAAAAAAACCTTAGACACATTTCTTTTCTTTTTCTTTCCCTTCTCCTTTACTTCCTTCCTTCCTTCCTTCCTTCCTTCTTTCATTCAGGAAATTAATGTCCTGGGTCAGTATTTGAAATTGCATTTGTGTGCAAATGAATCATATTGCTCTGTCCCTGATAAGTAAGTATGCTAATCTTAAATTGTCATTCATTTGCTGAATTTTATTTTTTATAATAGAGTCTTAAAGAGAAAGAGAATGATGAACTTGATATTCAGTTGAGAGTATTTGAAGAGAACAAAGAAGATGACCTAACTGAATTATCCCACCGTCTCAATGACATTCGAGCTGAAATGGAATATCCTTTGACAAACAAAATACTAATTTTAGTACATGTTGAAAAGCAGGAATTGAGGTGGTTTTTTTCATATTCTTATTAGAATTCTTGTCTATGAACAAAGTTATAACTCTTGTTTCTTTGTATCCAGACTCTACTATGATGCTATATTTCATATACATCCATGCTGAGATGTTATTGAACTATTGAAATCTGTCCAATGACTCACTGTATTTCAGGATATATTATGTTTAGTGGTCTTGAATATACAGGACTCTAAGTGCCTAAGGCAGTATGTCTTACTGATAAGAATAAGGAAATGTTCTTTAGTTCATATGTAACACTAAGAGACATTGTGTATTTTACATGGTACTTTGCTTATAGATACAATTCTCTGGCAAAGAAGGTCTTATTTCTTATCAGATATTTGTGTTCCTTAATGATAGGAAAATTGTTAGATAAAATAGTATCTGTCTATAGCAAAGCAATATTTTAAAAGTACCTATGTCAAATACAACAGCATATAATTTTCTTGTGGCAGCCATCTGAAGTGAAATTTTTTGAGATTTAAGATATGGTTGTTATGGCACTGCCATTTGTTTCACATCCATTACAATCCGTGCTCTTGGGTTCTCTGAATTAGTAAAACACTTCAGAGTCAGAGCTGTGCTTTTCTGCCTCTAATTTTTTCCTTTCTTCTTTCAGAATTTTAAACAAACTGAAACTTTATGTCCCTCCTTAAAACTCCCACAGTAGCCTTATACTTTTTGTATACACTTCTCTCCTTACAAAAAAGTATTAGATATATGTACATACAAGGAATATAAATGGTATTATCATAGAAAATGATATCTAATAATTTCTCTTTCAAGATTAGTAACAGCAATCTGTACCAGCATCACTAATACATAAAAAGTACCCTTTATTTTGTTCAATAGACATACCTTGTATTTATATAATCAGTCATTTGATGTATGCTGTAGCAATTTAGGAGCCTTATGATACTTTAACCCAGTACTGTCATGTAGGATTTAAAGTAGTACATTGTATTTTTAATTCTACTAACCACTTTATGTATTTTTATTGGCTATTTTCTTTATTTACATTTATTTACATTTATTTACATTTCAAATGCTATCCCCTTTCCTGGTCGCCCCCCCTCCAGAAACTCCCTATCCTATCCCCCTTCCCCCTGCTTCTATGAGAGTGCTTCCCGACCCATCCATGTACTCCCAACTCACCACCCTGGCAGTCCCCTACACTGGGGCATTGAGCCTTCTCAGAACCAACAACCTCCCCTCCCATTGATGTCAGATAAGGCCATCCATCATCTGCTACATATGCAGCTGGAGCCATGGGTCCTTCTATGTGTACTCTTTGATTGGTGGTTTAGTCCTTGGATGCTCTAGAGGGTCTTGTTGGTTGATATTGTTCTTCCTATGAGGTTGCAAACCCCTTCAGCTTTCAGCTTTCTCTAACTCCTCCATTGGGGTCCCCATGCTCAGTCCAATTGTTGGCTGCAAGCATTGTCATCTGTATTGGCCAGATGTTGGATTGCATCTTACATTTATTTTAAGTGGACTTTCCTTGTCCTCAGTATATATAATGTGAGCCCACTTTTAAATTGCTTTCTAGATTACTAGTTGCATTTACAAGACTTGTTTTCATATCTCATATAAAAGTGTTTCAATGTCCGTTTGATTTATTTCTTATATATTTTTAAAAAGATAAGCTAGTTTTGTGATCTTTGATAGCTGAGTGATTACATGACATTTCTTTTATCTGATAATAAATATAGAATAGCAGTGTCTCTATTGGAACCAAAGACAGATCAAGGAACTACTTCTTTTTCACTTGATGGCTTTCCAGTTTGAATGGCCCTAGCTATTATCTGAAGTTGGTATAATGAATGATTATATATGAATGATTATAATGAATGTGTTGACACCCAAGTGGTCTTGGAAATTTTTTAGGCTTCTTTCTATTATGACAAGATTAATTTTTTGCTGTAGATGTTTAAATGCTATAAAATGAAATTGAAGCATTAATAACAATAATAGAAACCAAGTGACAGTTTTGATTTTTAAAAATTAGCCAGTTTAGTCCTAACTGTATCAAGATTCTTTGCTGTTTTCCTTTACTCACTTTCTACTGATATGAATGAAGTCTACCATCTTCTCTATAATATGCTGAAAGACACTGCTGCTGAAGGTTACTTATTATCTATTCTTCAACACTTTCTGCTCATCAGAAATGATTACTATATCAGGTAAGATTCATATCTGAGAGGATTACATGTATAATTTGAATTTGATATCAAAAGAAAGTTAACAAAGTAGTAGGGCCAAGGAAATATATGCATTATATGTACATAAAATATAAGAGTTTTACTACTTTTGGCAACATTTTAAAAAAGAATTCATTTATTTTAATTGGGCCAGAAAAGATAGCTGCATACAACTATGGTGCACCCAAGCAAACAGAATTTAAGAAGAAATTAACCTGTCATATATTATTGAGACTGTAATGAATTTTTCTACTTGATACTGGCAACCCAATGGAAATATTGAAACTGTTAGAATTTTTTAATTCTTGCCTGTTTTAAAAAGTAAGCTCTTATCATTTTTTTCATAGTGTTCAGTAAAATGTGTGATCTTTAAATTTAGGAAAATATTATTGTATATATTTTAATTTTTGTCCAATGATACTATTTTTCAAATAAATGTATATGATAATAACTAAGAGGTCAGGTTTAGAATAGATAATAATGTCTATATATAAAACTTAGAAACATAAAATAAAGTGCTTATGAGTGACTGAAATTTTCTATAAGCTCATGACCATGGTCTTAAGGTTAATGACAGTTCAAGCTATTCATAGTTGCTTTATACTCTTATTATGGCATACTATGTTCTTTGATTTCTCAAATCTTGCTATAAGAATTTTAAAAGGAACACTTCCAGAATGTACTGGCAATAAAAATTGACAGTTCTAAAATAGCATAAGGTGATTTTTTTTTCCTTCAGGCTAATACAGTGATTTGATCAACAATATGATATTGAGGAGACAGAAAAATGTTGAAAGAACTAATCCATGTGTTCTTAAGAAAACACTATCAACAGTAATACTTAATAGTGGAAATACAGTGGTTATGATTATTCAGGTGCATGGGAACATGATTTGTACAGAATTATCTGATTAAATATGCAGAAGATTAATTAGAGTCTGATTTTATTCATTTTCAAGTTTTTAGAAGTTGACAAGCTATATTTAGAGATGTTTATATCATAATTTGTATTATGTAATATCTCTCTGAAATACTGTTGAATTTATTAGCCCATGACAATTTATCTTCTGCAATTTGTCCTGCATTTAATGCAAAATGTTCCTTATTTTTATTTTTCCAGTCAGTGGTCATTTTTAAAGCCAAAATTACCTTGGGAGATTACAGAAAAATGGTTTGTTTTAAAACCTTTGACACATCACACAAATTGCAACTGTAGCTATGCATATTAAATATATATGATTTTATAAGATAGATTTTTTAAGAAATATGCTGCATACATGGGTCTTCACAGTAGTCTGTAACAGAAATGACTCAGCCCAGTTTTGTAAGCTAATGTGACTCTCCTGAATAAATGCTCTGCATTGAGTTCAAGACATTGCTTGCCACCCAAGGCCAAGAAACACATCTTTTTTTTTTTAATTGAAAAGGAGAACTTGTGGTTTTCTATAACTGTTTCTGTGCTCATAGATGTAGGACTAAGGGATCATTCATTTTCATTAACTTTAGGAACAATATCTTAAGTAGATAGAGAAGGTCAATAAGTATTTTTGAACACAAGGATGAATCCCTGCAAACTAGAATATTAAGTCTGTACATACCTTCAGTCAATTACATCACATTCAATTTGGCCCCCTAATGTTCAGAATGCCTTTAAGCCTTAGTCATATTTTCTCTAAAGAAGTGTAAATGTTAGTGGAATTATTTCCTTCTTGGCCCCGGGGGGGAAATAACCTGAGTTCTTTTTGCATTCTGAATCCCTTCATAAAAAAATTGATTGATGCAAGTAGAAAAGTATTCTCAAGCATTTTCTCTTTTTTACAGGCCACAGTATTATAAAATAATCGAGGAGTGTGTTTCACAGATAGTGCTGCACTGCAGTGGCATGGACCCAGACTTCAAGTATAGGCAACGCATAGACTTTGATTTTTCACATCTCATAGGTATGGATTATGCGCTTTACTGTCATTCACGTTTCATGCCTTCTGCCTGAGCACTTTTTAAGTGTAGGTCTCTCACTGAATTTCTATTAGCATCTGGTAATTCATTGTTGCTGTGGCTGTTCAATTGTTATAACTGTTAGTTTTGAGGATCATAAGAATTCTCCTTATAGGCTCTCTTTGAGTTTCAGCAGTACTCAATCAGTTGAAAGTTAGCCACGTACCCCACAGAAAGCCATGATGTTTTAATAGGTGAATACCTTGCATTTTAGAAACATGACTCATGTCCTTTAATTCAGTTCATCCTCACAAAAAGATTCTGGGAATTGTGTGTAGTAGTGTCTATATAGATATGCTACTGTGGTTCTGAAATGTGAGAAAACAATTTTCATGGTAAGTAAATTACCTTACACAGTTAGAGAATATCTAGTAGGGATATTATTTTCTGAACAGTGATGACAAACCCCCATGTTGTAATATGCTATAGCTTTGTAGTTAGGGAATTGTATTTAAAACTAATCACACCATTATTACCTATGTTGATGCATAAATTTGATTAGTTTGAAAGAAAACAAAAACTGTTGAATATCATCTTTATAATACTTTGCATTCTGTGGCAGCAGGCAGAAAAACAATAGCAGTCAGAGATTGAATATTATTTCCATTTCTAAAGGGAATGTATACTTACTGTAGGCAATTGAAAGATTTCTAAAAATGACAGATATCAGCTACAGCAAGATAACTCCCATTCAACAGTATATTTTAAGTAGTTTTTCTTAATGTATGTGTGTGCCAATACAACTACTGCTAAGCTGTGTATTTCGCAGAGCGTTGTGAAGATTTGACCATGTTGACATTGAAATTGAGACTATGCTAATACATGCCATATTATAATCTATCATGATCATTTTAATCTGTGTTCTCTTAAATATTTTGCTGTCGTTACATCTAGATTGGTTTTATATTTTTAAAATTATGACTAAATCAGCTAATAGATCTTTTCCACTACATTTTTTAATAATCAGCTTATTTGAACATTCTTATGTGTAAATTTTAGACATTTACTCATCACCATTTCATAATTAATTGCTATCAGTAGTGGTAGTCATTGATTAGTATTGAGGTATTTTCATTAGAATATACATATGTATACACAAATACACACAAATTTATTAAGTGCTTCAGCATCATCCAGGCTATACAGGTATGCCTATTTGAATAAAACTTGAACCTCAGTATTATAGTCCAGTCTGATTTCAAATTTTTGTATATCTATTATTTTTCTTAGATCATATAAGATTCTTTACTAAAATTCTTTAGTGATGTTCCATTGGAAACCAAAATGAAAATCATCTTCAACTCTACCTTGCATTACCTATATAAAGCCCCTTTAGACAATATCATTTTCCTTTTTGTCTGTAATATTGTAACATTGTTACAATAAAAAAAATTAATACTTGAAGTAGGATAGACGGTTTTAGCAGTTAAGAACACTTCCTGCTTTTGAAGAGGAGCTTAACTTGATTTCCATTACATATATGACAGCTTAGAACCATTTATAACTCTGGTTGGTCCTAAGTCCTCTTCAAGTCTCTGCAACTGTTGGCACAGACATACATGCAGAAAAAACATACATACATATAAAATGAGATAAAATAATTTTTCTTTTATTTATTAACTTATCATGCCAGATTTCCCTCCCCACCGTCCATCTTCTGTTCCCCATCCCATACTTCCCCCCTAACCCCCTGTCTTCAGGACGATGTTCCCACCACCCACCCACTACCCAACCAGGCCTCTAAACTCCCTAGAGCCTCCAGTCTCTTGATGGTTAGGTGCATCTTCTCTGACAGAACCCAGACCCGGCAGTCCTCTCCTGTATATGTGTTGGGGGCCTCATATCAGCTGGTCTATGCTGCCTGGTCAGTGGTCCAGTGTTTGAGAGACCTCGGGTCCAGGTTAATTGAGAATGCTGGTCCTCCTACAGGGTCTCCCTCCTCCTCAACTTCTTCCAGCCTTTCCCTAATTGAACCACAGGGCAGCTCCTGCCCATTGGTTGGGTGTAAGTATCTGCATCTGACTCAGCTGCTTGTTGGGCCTCTTGGAGGGTAGCCATGCTAGGCTCCTATCTGTAAGTACATCATAGCATCAATAATAGTGTCAGCCCTTGGGACCTCCTCTTGAGCTGGACCCCACTTTAGGCCTGTTGCCTGACCTTTTCCTCAGACTCCTCTCCATTTCCATTCCTGCAGTTCTTTCAGATAGGAACAATTATGGGTCAGAGTTTTGACCTCCTCCCTCTTTCTGCTGGAGGTGGCTGAATTTCAATGTATCTGAATTTATGTTGTGGTCTTTGATCCACTTGAACTTGAGCTTTAATTCTTTTACATTTCAGTCGAGAAAACTTGTAACATTTCATAATATAAGCTAATCACTACATAGCAAATGAACAGATACTTAAAGTATGTATGTGTATACTTAAAACATAAATTAACACATTTATATGTTAATATATTATATACATAAAACCATCATTGTATTCAGTATCCTATGTTTCAGCCTTCTTCATTCCTTCTTATGTACTCCAATGCTTTTAATGACACAGCTGCTGGTTTCTCTCATACTGACTTTATTTTAGCTTAGTTTTCTCTCTTTAGGTTCTTTTTCTAAAATATATAGCACATATTTTCTGTGTTTGTTTCCTTTCATGAAGGATAATTTTGAGATTCATTCATGTTGTATTTCATGTATTGATAGTGTATTCCTTTATGTTGTGAAGTAGTAGTCATGTATGAATATAGCATAATTTATATTTCTTGGTGGTCAATTGCATTCTTTCCAGTGTTCAACTGCTGTAATAAAGCTGTTCTGTATCATTTATATAATACTGCAACTCAGAAATAGGATTTCCTTTAGAGAAATATTGGGGTAATGTTCAAAGTTTAGTCTCAGTGGGTATTTTCATCATGTTTATTAACTAGATGTTTATAATTTTAAGGTTTCTTCTCTTTGTACATGATACATTTTGTGTAAAATCAGAAGTTAAATAAAAGATTTTTCCTGTAAAACCTGAACTGAAGAATGTCATTACACTCTTGTCTCCCAGCTTTTTAGGGGATCATTTTGAGATTTTATTATCTTGAACATGGAGTCTTTACCATCTCTCTCTACATAATAGTGTGTAATTTTTAAATGAATTCTGTAGTGTTAAAAGTTGAATCATAATGAAGATTTTCATTACAGTAATAATTACATCAAAGATATTTTTGATAGTTGAGTATTTTTGCTTTAACTCTAAAGAAAGAAACTGTGGTAGTAAATGCACATTGTAGTATTGAATAATCTATATTTAATGAAAATTCATGTAAAAAGTACAGAATCATATACTAGCAGTCAAAATTAGCTGAAGATTCCTTGCCATATATTTCTAATTATTTGTGCTTCACCTGAATAGATGCTTGTGTAAACAAGGCCAAAGTTGAAGAAAGTGAGCAAAAAGCAATGGAATTTTCAAAGAAGGTAAGACTAATAAGATAGTAGTCCTGATTTTTTAAAATAATAATTTAACCATAGTTAAACATAGTTAAACCATAACCACATTCGTTTTTTACATGTCACTGTGTAACTTGTCCTTTCAATTTCGTAGTATTTTATACTACTAGAGTCAAACATTACACAATATTGATTTATTTCCTAATGAGATAAGTTAGTTACTATGAGATATCTTAATGATAAATGAAATAAAATCACCTGTCTGATACTTTACATAGTTAAAATGAAAAAAGAGAAACAAATTCCTTCATTGCTTTCCTTTAGCATTCACTTGTACTACACAGTTTCATGGAGAACTGGGAGAAACTTGGTTTCTTTTTAAAGCTATGACTTTTGAGCTGCTGTTGAAATTTGATGGCTAGAATCTTTTGGTAGCATGTGTGCTAGCATGTATCTCTCTTCATATCGGTCTGAGATAGTATTAAAACAAAAGGCACGGGAAAATAGTGTTAAGCTATCTGACATGAAGACAAGTGCTTATGTTTGCTCAATCCTTTAAAGTTCTGACTTAGCTTGGAGATAAGATCATCACTTTTGTTATAACTCTGAAAATATTAGAGTTATTTCTGGGCATTTGAAGAAATTATTTTTTGATCTTTCATGTCCTAGAATAGATGATAAGAGATTGAGTTAAGCACAATGAGATTGTGTGAAACTCTCATTGGTAAAATGTGTATTTTTGGGAAAAATTTTTCTTTTAAATAACGTGTCCTAAATTTCCATTGAATGTCATAGACTCTCCTTAAATTTGAGTGGAGTATAAAATTGGAGCACATAGTGATGACCTATCTTCTCAATTTCTTGTAATTATTCTGAAATCATCAAGAAATACAGTGATAAGTGCTAACAATGTTAATTGCCAATATTTAGAGTGGATATGTGGCATTATCTATATCCATTATCTCTGAGATACCTTAAACATAAAATAGTTTTTTAACTTTGTTTTTGAGAGTTTTGATATTTGTATAACATGTTTTGATAATATTCACCCCTACCCCTAGTTTTCCAAAATGTTAGATAGTAGTTATAAGATCTAATCTCAACATTTCCACTACTTCCCTTTGACTATAAGCAAGCCACATATTCTCTTTGGACTGTGCTCTTTTCATAATTAAAAAGGGAGTCTAAGATTAGGAAGTTGGAAAAAGACCGGTTCGACTCTTCATAATTAGGTTTGTATCATTCTTCTCCTGCATGGTTACATTTAATGTAATATTAAATTAAAAGCAGAAAAATATGTGCTTGTGTAGATGGCATATTTGAACATCAGTATAGGAGAAATTTACTTTGAGAAAAGAGTTATAATTCTCAATGTAGGCAAGTCATATTGATTGAATAAAAACATATTGAAGGAATTCTATCATTTTTGTTCTGATATTTTTATGTTGTTTTTGTTTGTTTGTTTTCATTTTGGAGACAGAGTTTCATTATGTTCCCCTTCTTGGCCTAGAATTCACTATGTATTCCAGGCTGGCTTTGAACTTGCATTGATCCTACTGTCTCTGCCTCCTAGGTGTGAGGGTTATGAGTATACATTTTTATGTCTGTCTAAGATCCTCATCTTCTCAGTGAATTAGGAAAAGAAGATCATTGAAGGAGCTGTAGATCTCTCCCCTCATGTATTTTTTTTTGTCATTTTGGAATTTAGTTATATTAGGAAAGATTTTTACCAACCTCTATAAGGCATTTTCCAAGACATGAATAAAACTATAACTAAGCAGTGCTTCCGGTTTGATATAAACACTGTCATCCAGTCTACCCAGACATGTTTTTTTCAACCTACCAGAATAGCATTCTATAATAATTTCCTAAGGTAACATCTAGTAGGAGGATGGATATTTATTAATAGGGAATGTGTTTCTCTATCATTTCATACACTTTAAGTACAGTACTGGGTGATAAGATCTATTACTTTTAGAAACAGAAATTATATTGTTGGGATAATCTATATAAATATAAAATAACGAGTTGACATTCACAATAAAAAGTAAATAAAATTTTTAGAAGCAAAACATATATAGTATTCTCTGTAAATATGAGGCTAGCTTGTGTCTACCTGGAATAATCATTGAAGTAGGAGTTCCGACACAGTGTAGTAAATATAAGTACACCTTTTGTAGAGTTAGGACCTTTAGTACCCCATATTTTTACTTCTCTTTTTCTTTCCTCCTTCGTTGTCTTCACTTCCTCGTGTATGTATGTAGATATGTATGTATGTATATATTAAATTATTTATTTATTCTGGGTCCTCTCTTTTTCTCTCTCCTCCTCAACCCCATTCTGTGTACTTGCTAATTTGTGTTTGTTCTGTACATCAGTCAGAGAACGACCTGGAGGATTCCGTTTTCTCTAGCCATCTTATATGATTCAAGAATCTAATTGAGGTTATGCTCTTGTACTTCTACACTCAGAAACATCTTTACTCGCCTCGCTTTCCTCTCTTGCATTGTTTAAAGAGAGTTTTTGTTAACCATATGATACAGAATAGAATTTTGGGCTATATCATAATAGTGTCAGATATTGTGAAATACTGCTTTTTCGATGCTAAGCAATGCAGCAATAATCTCCCAGTTCAATTTGTGTTAATATCCATACTTCTTATCATTGTGAAAACCAAATATTTTTAAAGACTAAATATGTTTAGAAGTTGTAAATGCATTCCATATTTTTGTATTTCACTTTCTACCTAAACTTAAAAGAATGGTGGCAAATCTTTAATAAACAGTATTAATTCTACAATTGAATTTCTTATAACAATCCATTTTTTATTACATGTGAAGAAAGACTACAAATCCATGCATTTTTTCCTCTTTTTTAAATGGAGAATTATACCTGTGTGGATGTTTAATTGTCGGAAGAATAATTAAATATCTTTCTGAGTATCTCTCTAAATTCAGGAAAGCAAAACCTGTTCTACATATTTACTACATAATGTTCAAATCTTTCTCTAACACATATTAGTAACTGAGCATTTATGTTGGTCATTGCAGTTCGATGAAGAATTCACAGCTCGTCAAGAAGCTCAAGCAGAGCTTCAGAAAAGAGATGAAAAAATCAAGGAATTGGAAATAGAAATCCAGCAACTTCGAGCACAGGTAATGAAGCAAAATGCAGACTTGACGTCACACAAATTTGGTGGTAGAAAATTATCTTGTTAGTCAGAAGGAAAAGTGTGATCAGAAACAGACCTTTAGGTTGTTTGTTCACAATTTCACATTTTAGTTGAAATAAGTACAGATTTGATTTTTCCAGGACAGTAAGTCATTTTAATGTTTGGAAATAAATAAGGCTTCATTTGTTCAAACTGCCCTGAATATTTTTACCAGAATACATTATACAAGCCAAACTGTTTGTGACATGAAATTTTCATGATGATGTGAAAAATTGTGTGCATAGTATTTTCTTTCAAAAAGAATATAGAAATGCTCATGAATTTTAATTATCCAAAAGACTTCCTGAGATCTTTAAATCAAGACTGTCTTCAATTCAGAACCTAGACACTTTATTTCTACCTGCGTTCCTTTGCACACATACAAAAATACTTCTTAAGATGTCTATACTTTAGAATTATATATACACTCAACACATTTTGTGGCTTAAAAGAATAATATGGAATTTAAGAGGGTGCCCTTAAATATTTAATATCTAGGAGGTGGTGGCTGATTGACTACATCTCTTTCTAATATTATGCTTAGAAATTGCTTACAAAGTACCTGGTAAGCTGCAAAGTATGCACGGTGGTACCCTTTTTACCCACAGCCCATATATCATTTATGTTCACTATTTGAGTCTTTGTTTTTCCTTCCAGTATTATGTTACTGCTGTCTGAGAACTAGATTTCTCTTATTTTTTCATTCCCCAATGGCGAGATATCTCTGTGTTCTCTCTGCCCTTGGCAGTTTTCTCTGCTTTGTATTTCTTTGCACAAGTGTCCCACTCAGTTTCATATGTTCATATATCACCTTTTATTAGGTGTCAAGTCTTTTGAGTCTATCTTACATTTGCAGCTGTCCCCATAGGCAAGTCTTTTGTATTGAAATCAAACTCAATGTTTTTGATCTTTTCTCTTTCCTTAAACCAGCTTAGTTCCCATTTTTATTTGTTTTAAAATTTAACCACTATTTCCTTAACATTCAAGTTTGAATGTTTTGCTTGACCTTTTCCTGAAAAAGGATGCTAGTTCTTGTTTTATTTAAATTCTTCCTGTGACTTTTTCACCTCTTCATCAAACCAAACTCCTTTTGGGTCTACTTCCATTACATTTTGCCTGAGCTATTATATTTGTCTCCTCTTTTTTCTTCCTGCCTGTAGTCTTTTCCTCCTCAAGTTCACGTTTCATGTCAATGGAGAATTATTCCTCATAGAACATTGTTCCAATTATTATTATCAAAGTATTTATTGTGTATAATGCTTTCATGTTGCATCTGGGATTAAACAAAATCTCCTCATCAGAAATATTAAAAGCTTCTGGCAGGGTCTGCTTTATACTTTACTCTCATTGCAGCCTAGATTCTGACTGTTCTTTTAACTACAACAACCTCTGCTGCTGTTAAATCTCCTTTCATTCCATTAGATCTCTAACTTACTGGCTCTATACTTTTCATTCTGCCAACTTTCTCACATAATGGTTATAGATATTTTAATGATTTTCACAAAGTGTCCCATAGTCTACTAAATTGGTTAAACATTAAGTTCATGGATATTTGCAAAATGTGGTAGGCTGTTAAATAGTGTGAGATATCCTACACTGAAGAATCCTCTCTAACTCATGCCACTTTCCTGACTCATTTGACCATAGTATCTTTTGTTGTTTTCATTTTTATTTTTGAGACAGGGACTCAATTTGTAGTCCTGGCTAGCCTGAAACTCTGTGTGTAGTCCAGGCTGACCTTGCACTTACAGAAAGCCATCTGGATCTGTCTCCTGAGCATGAGTATTAAAGGGATGTATTGCTTTGCTTGCCTGAGTATAGTACCTTCTATGGTTGTTTTGTCTGTTAGAAAAGCTACCTTATGCTAGCACTCATCTCATCATGATGAAGCTTTTTTTGTTTCTCCTTTTTCCTCCTCCTCCCCCTCTTAGTCCTCCTCTCTTTCCTCTTTCTCCTCCTCCTCCTCTTCTTTTTCTTGAGACACTCTCTCACTCTTCGACGCAGGGTGGTGTGAAACTTTCTGTGTAGTCCCGATTGTGCTGTCCTGTCCTAACAAGCCGTAGCAACTGCTATACTGTATTAAACTCCAGTCTGATTGTTTGACTCCTAGTTATTAAATGAAGAAATAAGTAAATAATATGACTTGATATTGAGAGGCTTGTAAAGCAAATATTTACTTGAGTTAAAACCCTATGAACTTGTACTTTTTTTTTTAGGTCCATTTATATGGTGATCAGTACTCCTCCTAATCTATACCTCCAGTCTTATTGACTTTAAGGAATTTGTGGTTGTGATTTTTACAAATGACTTATATTTAATAGAGGAAAAATATTGGCTCCTTTAAAAAATGTTTATTGAATATTTACATTTCCCTTCTGCATTAATTTTTAAGTGAAAAGAGGCAAAATAAATTGTACATCTCAAGTATTCAGACAAACTTCATTTTCCAAAATGCTTGTTGAATAAAGTACCAATTTTCTAAGACTGAATTTCTCTAATAATTTCATTAATCTTACATAAGAGTAAAAATCAGAGTTTTACAGCTTAGTGTAATTTCTCTGGATTTTCTGGAAAGAATTTCATTCTAGGAGTGGCAAGGCATTTTTGAGTATCCAAATATATGTACATTTATTTATATATGTGAACATATAAGCATATACATTTATGCATATGAATAAAATTTGATCATTATATAGGACATAATTCTTCAATCATATCTAATAATAAATGAAAAATTTAAAAATAAATTTTATAAATAAAATTCTTATCACAATTTGGTTAATACTTTTTTATTCTGAAAGGTACTTCATAATATAACTGGGACAGGAAATTGTCCAAGTAGAAATTTTATATTCACCAAGATAAAAAGACTTCTTCCTACTTAAAAAGAAAAAAGTATTTGCCATACCATGAAATTTCAATTAAACAAATGTAATATTTTGATTACAAAAATGTCTGCTAATTGTTACTAATTTCTTTGAAATACTTTCACGTTCATTTTGTAAAGGGAACCATTGTTTCAGTGATGTTTTACAATAAGAGAGTAGTGTAGAAAGAGAACCACATGAAAATATAAATCCTCAGTTTTGGTTTTTTTGTTTGTTTGTTTCTTTTGGTTTTGCTTTTTTTGGTTTTTTTTTGTTTCATTTTGTTTTTTGCTTTTCAAACTTTCATTTTGTCTATAGATTAAATAAAAATAAAATAAAATCCAATCAGAATTTGGATTTGGCAGCTATGCCCCTAAAACATCTTCACCAGCATCTACTATATTGATACTTCTATACAAGCCTACTTGGAAACACACAGCTTCAAGGAGAGTTCAAATCTTTCCATCATATTTTCTGTTTTTGTTCTTTTTCTGATGGTTATTTTACTTATTTACATTTCAAATGTTTCCCCTACTGTTTCACCTCTGCAAACCCTTCAAATTATAACCCCTCCCCTTTGCCTCTGAGAGGGTACTCCTCTCACACTAGGAGGACTTAAGGAGTTGCAGTGGATTGGAACCCCATAGGGAGATCAGCAAAATCAATTAATGGAACCCCTAGAGCTCCCAGGGACTAAGCCACAAACCAAAGAGTATATACATGGATGGGTCCATGGCTCTAGCTACCTATCTAGCAGAGGATGGCCTTATCTGAAATCATCTTGTTTTACACCTTGGTATCTTTGATAATCTGTCTCTCTGTCTGACTGTCTGGTTGTTGTATTTTTGATTATCTGTCTGTCTATCCATCCATCCATCCATTTGTGTATGTATGTATTTATTTATTGGGCTGAGGATCAAACCTAAGGATTCCCCATGTAATGAAAGAACTCTAGTGAATGAGCTATATCCTCAGCCTTGATTTAAGGTTTTTTGCATTTGTTTTCCTCATAAGCATTGAGCGAAAGATGTGATCAAATGTCCTATTTACATTACAAGAAAAAAGGAGTGTTAGATGTAAAATGTTCATATACTTATATTGGTATGCAAATGGATAGAACTTAATATTAACCATTAGTTTTTGAAGACAGTTAAATTAGTGGTACTGCGAAATACTTTCTATAAGCCTAACTGATACCCAAAGGATTTGAATCCATGACCTTGTCATACTTTATTCAAACTGTAATCTTCTAGTCTATGCATTATGCTGTACATTTTTGGCTATATTTATAGTGGAAGCTGTTGTTTCGTTATGTCAGACTTTCCCCCAGAATCGTAGAAACTGCATACTTTCCCTCTCTTAATATATTAGTAGAAACAGTCATTATCTGAATTATACATTATATGTCAAAAATATCTTAATTATAGGTTCTGATAAACTGGATAATCTGGAAAGCTTAAAAAAGGAAATACAGTCTTAAGCCCAGAACACCTAAAGTATATATATGTATATGTATATATATATATATACACATACACACACACACACACACACACACACACACACACACACACTCTTTGTGTTATATTTTCTTATAAGCATTAAACTTGTTTTGTTTCAGGGAACTCCATCTGCAATTCCTGGCCCACCTCCACCACCTCCACTACCAGGTGCAGGACCATGCCCACCACCACCTCCTCTACCACCACCACCACCTCCACTTCCAGGAGTAGTTCCTCCTCCACCCCCACCATTACGTGGGATGCCTGGTGTTCCACCCCCACCACCACCTTTGTTTGGAGTACCTCCTCCACCACCACCCCCTGGAGGAATTCTTCCTCCCCTACCAGGACTAATTGAGCTACCATATGGAATGAAGCAGAAAAAATTATATAAGCCTGAAGTATCCATGAAAAGAATCAACTGGTCCAAGGTAAGACTATATCTTGAGGGCCTTTTTCAGTGATTGACAGTGTCAGAGAAATGGGTTGCTGTGAGTCAGCATCAGGTGGTGTAAAGATGGTGATTACTGGCATTATTGCTTTCCCCTGTGGGTTTACCATTTTATGTTCACCTTGAAATGTATGACCAAGATAACTTACAAATACTTTGAAAAATATACTAGCAACAATGGAAAGTCATGTCGAAAATTATGGCCTGAGGTCAGTATTTCTATTTTGGTCAAGCTTCAAGAATTGCATATATAGCTTGATCATGCTAGCTCTTTTTATCCTGGGAATACTTTTATTCCTGTCCATCATGTGAAAGCTTGTCTTTAACAACATCACCATGTTGGCAGCCAAAGTGCATGGCTTGAACCTGAAAATGAACTCCCAGACAGAGTTATTAAATTAACAGGCTGGCAAGCCAAGGATGAGTAAGATTCTGCACACAGCCTTACCAACCTAAGACATAAGTGCATTGCTTTTGATAATGCATATTCCACGATGGGTAAGGAAGCCATTCTTGTCAGAATGACCTAAGACAGGCTCAGTCTTGTTTATGAAATAAAAAATAAGGGGAAGAGGTGGAGAGCTTTTGGGGCTACTTGGCAAGAATCTGACATTGGCCAAGGACAAGGAAGTAGGCTTCAGACAGGAATATGATATTAGAGTAGAACAAAGAAGTATTTTCAGGCAGGAATCTATTAGGCTAGAACAAAGAATTTTAGGCAGGAATATAAAACTTAGGCTAGAACATGGAAGTAGGCTTTAGACATGAAATGAATTTGGGCTTGGATAGGGTAGTTGGCTCATATATTTTGGTCATCCTGATAAGCCTTTAGAAACAGTGATCATGGGAGTGTTCACTGAATTGGGTTTAATGCCTTGCTTGTTCTTTGACTATTTGTATTTATTGTCTTGTTTGTTCCTTGACTATTTGCATCTATTGTATTGCTAGTTCCTCAACCTAGAACTGATCTTAATACTTGCATTTAATTAAAATGGTATAAAAACAAAAAGGAGGAGAGGGGAATGAGATAGGGGGTGTCTAGGGAGGGGAAATGGGGAAAGAGGATGACATGTGAAATGTAAATAAATAAAATATCCAAATATGATGAAATGAAAATAATATCATAGGTTTATCATTGTAAATATTAAGTATTTTCAATTTTGCAATAGGATTGTTTTTTAATATCATGTTATCTTTGGTACTTTTGTTCTTACAGAATGTTAAGGTTTCCTTTTTTCTTTTGATTTTATACTTTAATATTGTAGGGATACAGGAACTCAAATAAATGGGTGCATAAGACGTTTTTGGGAAGATTAAATGGAAGCAATGAATTTATTGTACATGCATTAAAATTACGCAATAAAATTTAATGCTTGTTATATAAAATATTGTTTTAAAACTAGGTATAAGAATAATATATATAAGTTGAAGAAGAATATACTATACTGTGTTGAGGTTTTTTTCACTAGACATTTTCATATGTAGTGTACTCTTTGCCTTAGGTAGCTTTTCTGTATAACAACAGAATTGTATGTGTTTATCTGAACATGTTTGAGTGTAATTTTATATATTTGAAATTGATTTAGTGGAGAGAGGAACAAAGGTAAGTTGTTGAAAAATTAAATAGGAGGTCACAACACAAAACTTATCAGTGTTATTTTTATGTTAGATTGAGCCTAAAGAATTATCTGAAAACTGTGTTTGGCTAAAAATTAAAGAAGAGAAGTATGAAAATCCAGATCTATTTGCAAAACTGGCCTTGACATTTCCTTCCCAGATGAAAGGTACTTTTTATTTTTACACATTATTAATTCTTGTGCCTGGTATATTGGAATTCATTTCTCTGATAAAATGTGCTAAGGAACTATGAATGTATTGTTGTCTCACAGTAAACAGGTTCAAACATAAATATATTCAAGTTTTAGCTACAGTTTACTCTGTAACCAAAAAACATTCTCATTAGAATTTTGTTTTGCATAAATATAATTAGTTAACTTAAAGTATACATTTTACCATTATTTATTTAATATGTATGCTATACCTAATAAAATAGCTACTTTACTGAGAAACAGGAGATTACTTTGTAAATTTCCCATGTAACATAAATTTGCATCATGGAACACTGATATCTCTGAACTATATGGATGGTAATGGACTAAGACTGGTGTTATACTTTATGTATTTTTAATTGTATATTGTGTATCAACCTTATTTTCCTGGAAATCTCCTAGTTTCTATTATAAGAGTATGTTCTGAATTAATGTTTAAATCTGATCCTCAGAAAATATAGTTGTGGACTTGATGATAGCATTTCTTCTTTAAGATCATACCTTTAACATCTAAGTATGTCACACATGCCATTCCGTTAATATGTAAGACTCACAATGAGTCATTATGGTCTTTTATATTTTATTGATTTTGTCATATTGATTTTTGTAGTTATTGCATATGTGATAATTTAGTCAAATGTAGACATTGCATTGTGTAAATCAGTCTTTACAACTAATAATGGGGAATATTATATATACATATATATAATATTATATTATTATTATTATATTATACATATATATATATATTTAAATGAGTATCTTTGCCATTCATCTGATTCATTATGTCGTTAATTTGGAGAAATATAATGGCAGATAGATCAGGGAGATCTGTAGTGATTAAAGTGTTCAGAAGAACTTTTACATTTAAACAATTATTACATCTTTTATTTTTTTCTTATTTGCTATGGTCATCTTCCAATGTAAAATTTCTCTTTTAGTACCACTTATTAATGCCTATAACAAAGTATCCATATAGTTGTTTTTTTTCAGATGTATATAGGAAACATAAACAAGTCTCTTGTTTAAACTTGTGTCTTCTCCTCAAGATGTCATATTTTGTATATGTAAATATTGCAAAATTTAATAACGAAATTCAAAAGCTGAAAGTTTTCTGATATTATGTATTTTGGATAATTAGATACTCAGTCTTTTTTTTTAAACCTTTGCCCATATTTTTCTTGAGTTTTCTCGCTTTTTTTCTTTGAATATTTTTACGTGAAACATTGCTGTTTGGCATTTGTGTTGAATTCTACGTGAAACATATTTTATAAATTACACCTAGCCTCATTTATACAAATGACTAAGTAAGCCTATATTCTGTATTTTACAAATGAGGATAGTAAGATTAGAAACAGAGGTAGACTGGGGTGTGTGTATGTTCAATAGCATGTGTGTGTGTGTGTGTTTGATTTCTTTTAAAATCAACCCATTTCAATGTAAGTTAATAATGGTAATGCAATGTGTAGCCTACTTGAAAAAGGCTGTTGAACAGAATTACATCTACGTTCCTCAATTATAATAAGAGCAACTTTCACTGACTGAATTACCTCATCCATAATGCGAATAGACTAATGTTTAACTAGGTAGGAAAATGAAATCAGCTTATATATATTTCAGTACCTGGTATCCTCACTGTTTGGTATCTAACAGACACTTAAATGTTCATTAGGTTTTCTCATTTACTTATCCAATGGTGGGTATGTGTGTGTGCTTTTTTTTGTTACTGACAGTTTCTACAAATGTTTGTTTAGTAAGAAAATTTCCTGTCCTTCCATTGGTACTCACTAGAGCTAATCAGTTAGAAAAGAAGTAATGCTCCTGCCAAAACCGAATCAAACCAGAATAAACCAAACAAAATTATTCAAATCATGCACTCACTGCTGTGAAAGCTGCCTCTCACATTCCCTTTAAGTGTAATTCTTCAAATTTCTCTGCAGCATTACTCATTTTTTGTTAATTTTGAGTATTTATGTATATATGAAGTCAATGGAACCCTTTGGCATCATTGATTTATTTCTGAAGGGACGTTTCAGGATCAGTTAAATATCATAGAACATCCTGTACACTGGATGCAATAGACAAAACAAATTATGGTGACCCAACACTGATGCTTTAACTAACCCTCTTAAATATTGATTGTCTTCCTGTTGAAGTTCCTAGTTGAAATTCTTTGACATTCACAGTGCCTTGATTCATTATTTGGTCAATAGATGGCAGGCTTAGTAAGAAATCAGCAGGAGGTTCTGGCTCCAGCAAACTTAAGCTGTCCTGCCCTGGCTCTCACAGCTTTAGGGTACCACTTTCTTCTCCATTCTACTGCTCATGGCAGCTCAATCAGCACCATTCTGGAATGAGCCACCAACATGTTGTTTCTCAGACCTATTTCCAAGGCTGTTAGATTCAGTGTTCCATAACCTTTTGAGAACTACCCCCTAGTGTAAGGCCTTTGGAGAGCGCATGTCTCCATTTTCACTTAATGCGCTATAAAGCATTACTGGTCTGTATTGTCAAGTGAATGTTTAAAAATTCAAAGTAGCTGAGAGTTGCTAAATAGAACAAAGCTTTAATGTACCTATTTTAATATCTATAATATTTAGATTTGTAAATATTTAATATGTAAAAAATTCCACAAAATTATATTTTCTGACTGAACCCCTTATTCTTTGAGTTTTAGGGACTATTATTTTTAATCTTCCACTAAAAAGCAGTTTATTTCTCTTTTAGGATTATCTCATTTTATTTAATTGGTTTGTAAAATACCTAGTATGTGCATGGGAAAGAACTGATTATTTTCACCTTGCAGCAGAAAACTAATTCATGGTCTATTGACTAAGGTAGGGAGATAACCATATTTTGTCAGGTTGGAGTAAATGTTAGAATATTGAACATTTATTCAAAAGCTGTGGGAACATAGAATACAGCTAATGTAGAATTGGAATAAAATGAATAATACAGGGCTGGTGCTATGAACATTTCAGTACAGTTTCAATAGGGAAAGATGGAAAGAAGTCTTTCTGGATAAGGAATATCATTAGTAAAGTATTAAAAATTTAGATGACTGAAACTTAACTGAATTTATTTGAACAAAGAATTTCTCGTGAAGTTTGTGACACTCAGGGTCAGCATTCATTTTTATGCTAAGCTTAGATAGAAAAACAGAAATCAGGCGACTTTTCACATGGAGATGTGGGCCTTCTTTGGCCATTCTGTGATCAAAGCGACCCTTTGTTATTGGTGCAAATTCAGCTGGTTATTACAAACGTATAGATATTAATTAGGTTGAACTGGAATTTTAGAGCCAGCTTCAAGTCTCTGGTCTCCTATTAACTTAACAGTGGGGAGAAGAGAAGTGCATACTGTGCTGAGAGCACATGCAGCAGCTGTTGGCTGTGGAGTGAGGAGACTTTGTGAGAACTTCACAGTCAAGAGTGTTGGTTTGCTCTTTTTGCGTTAATGTGAGCAGAACCATTTGCTATAAAGCTTGTCTTTAGGTCAGAACATTTGCTCACAATAAGAGACTCCGATGAAATATAAGAATGAAGACATGAGTTTATAAAAAGTTTTGCCCGACTTGGAAAGAAATTCTTATTCTATCCCCAATTAGTATTTATAGCATTGTTAATAACTAACAAAGAGGTCATACAAAAATTATGAAGTGTGTATAACACTCCTCTTCCTAGAGGATGAGTCTTCTGGAGTCAGATTCCTTTTCATTTTTGGCATGATATTTTCAGTGAGAATCTTAATTCATGATCTTAATTTGTTTGAATGATTGATCTTGCAAATTGTGAATGAACATTACTAGCCTGGGCAAGATACAGTGATATTCTTGAATAGTATGAATTCTTTTATTATCTGTAAGCACTCTCCTAGTTTTCAAATCATGTATTTTCTTCAATATGACATTTATGTTCTTATAGGCCATCATATTGAAGTGACAAAAATGTAACTCAACATGTTATCTGCATTAAGGAATTATAAACATTACATTTATATAAGTATCTTATGAACAGGAGAGCAGCTGCATTAGACTTTCGGAGTGCTGGAGTCTTTCAGAATATACATATATGTAACGATTGGAATTTGTATGTTTTCTAGTTATATTTTATTCAGTTAGATGATATTTGGAGATATATAAACATGCAGACTTATTGATAGTGTTATTTTGCCTTTACAAAACTGCAGTAATTATAGATAATAATAATATTACATAAGAGTTAAAGTAATGATTGTTTATATTAACTAAAAATGAAATAATAATGAAATGTGTAGCTTATAACTGGTAATTCTAATTAGAATTTCTAGGGTTCTCTAGAGGCTTTAGGAAGAACAAAGATAGTGTGTGTTTGGAAGTTGTAAGCAATTTCTTTGGTTTTAATGCTGCTTAGAGGTAATGTAAGAAATAAACATGAGGTTAATAAAACAGCTTTGTTGATAATATATTTTACAATGTTCCTTAGGTTTACTAATAACTAAAAAATGAGGTTTTATAGATATTTAAATACAGATGAATTTCACTTTTAATACTTGTTGAAATATCAGATTTTCACAGAACATAGTTTGATGATATATGTATGTACAATTATTTAATTTTCTTCTAAAAGACATTTTAAATTGAAATTTCAACTTTGAATTTGGCTGGCTAGCCCTGATAATATTTAATGTTGCTTTATTTCTTAACACACATTTCTATATTTATTGAAGAATTGGAATGACAAAAGAATGGTAAAATCTAATTTATGTCCATTTTCATAATACAGAATATTGTCCAATTGGCTTTACAATAATGAGCTGTCAGTCTCATCGTGTACAAACTTTATATAATAGTGTTAATATGTCTACAGAGTAATGGTGTCCTAACAAACAATTTGTCATCATACTGCCACACATTTCTTCCAGTTCTGGAGATGGAAGAACATTGTAGAGGATACCTTCACATGTTTTCTTACATG